TTTCAAATTAAGTGATAAAAAATTATCCAACCCATTTTTAATCCATTCTAAATATGATTTATCCAAAATCATTAAAAAAGGGACAATTATAAATGAATTGATTAATTGTAACCCATTTTGCTACCTCTAAATCTTAACTTGGACATTTCTAGCTTCTTCAATGTTTTGAATATGGCATAAATTAATACGCTTGAATAAGTACGACAAGGCAAACAGATCATTTTATTCCAATCTAAATTTTTTCTTGCTCCTTGATTTCCAATGAAGATTAAAAAAGTCACACCGAAATTTTATTCGCAGGTTATGGTCAACCACCAATGTGATCAAATGCACATATGATGTGAAATTCCAACTAACCTACAATATATATATATATATATATATATATATATTCTTCAGCAAATAATCAATCAGACCTTCCTGTCTGAAAAGTTAAAACATAGGTAGATAACCTATAAAATTTACCATAAAAAATGAAAGGTGTTATTCGCGCTTTACAAATATACTTTGATGCTCTACCTCTTGTTCCTGACAAATAAAATGGCAAAACGCTCTTATGTCTTCTCTCTCTTTGATTTTCTTTCCTTTTTTTTATTTTTTTTATAGTGACCCGAAAAGTAACGTAATAGATGTATTTTCCTCCAGCTTTCTCTCTCCTGCTAACTTTGCATTACTTTCGTCTGTTTGATTCCTCATCATCATTGATACCAATTTGCATGGAATTCCTTATTCTCTTTCTATTCTATTCTTTTTATGCATTAATTGACACCTATGCCCAATTCTTCATTATGCATGCACCGGTTATTTTATCTTTCTTCACATTGACCTAAATTAATTGAAAAGTTAAAAAACATGAGCCTTTTTTTTTTTTTTTTTTTTTTTGTTGTACTTTATTCACACGATTAAGATATATTATTGAAAAAAAAGGGATCGACTTTAGTGATCCACAACTACTTATGTTTCAAATTTATTAGGTTTAATTAGTTATATTTAATGAAGGTTTTAACTTGAAATTTCTAACTTCAATGTTCTAAATCTGATATAATTAGACTAGCTCATTAACATAGTATTTATTCTTACATTAAGTTCATTAATGTTAAGTTAAATATTTTCTCTACGCTATTATAATTACTAAGTTTGGAAAGATGCATTCACTCTCAGATTACGAATCAAGAAAGTGAGTTAGCGTTGAGGGTCCTAGAGAGAAGTATATTCAAACTATGGATTTTAAGTGTGACTATTATACTCTGAGTTGATCAACACATAGATTCTTGAAGAGAACTGTAATCTTCATCAACATACATATTTGATATTTAGATTTAGTTGTTAAATTTTGGAGATAGTGTTGTCATTTATCTTCCGTTTGCATGTGAAAAAAACTTCAACCATTTACATGAAGCGATTACGCACTGTAAGTATAAAAATTCGTTCGACTTTGACAAGTCAACGTTGTAATTACTACACCCAAAATAATAATAGAGAAAAAACAACGAACTAGAGAAATTGTATAAAAATGAGAGGGTATTTTGATGATATGACGAAACCTAAGATTATCTAGATTGCCTACGTATCCCGCCTCATAGGGCAATGAGAATTGGATCTCTTCTTTGGGGGTTTTGCCTTTTTCTATGTCCTCTCTATTGAGGGTCTTAAGCCCTTTTTATATAGGGAAAACCCTTATCGAGTTCTTTTAGGACTCGCATTGCTTATCCATTAAGAATCTGAATCACATTATACTATTCTTATAATAAGGATTTACATTATTTGGTTTCCATAGATTATAATCCTCCTTCTAATAAAAATGTTATTAAAAATAGTATTTGTAATTGAGTTTGGGGTCTCATCATCTTAGGCCTTCTTAATGAGTTCAGCCAATTATCCTTAGTTAATCCAGTCCAAATTTCTTGTAGAGACCCAATTTGAAGGTTGAATAGTCTCAATATTTGTAGTGGTCTCCTTATGTACTGATGTGTTTTGTCTTAATTGAAATGGGAGATTTTTGTCCCTACAACACCTCTAAAGCTCGATAAGCAATATAGTATAGTTTTGTTCCAACAACTCAAACACCTAGAAGATCAATTCTACTATTTAATTACGCGCCTCTAAACACGTGCATGGCATATCTATGCGTCAATGGAGTCACCACCATTCAATTTGAAAAACATATATTTCAGTAGTTGCAACTACTTTATTGATTGATATGGTCAACTTCTCTCCTCAATCATATTTTTACTTATTTCTCGTGTTAGGACAAGTCTTGGGAAACCACAAAATGAAACAAGATATGACATGAACGAAAAACCACACACTACACAGAATATGAGTAGAGTATGAGTTTAATGTGGTTCAACTTAATTATTGCCTACCGTTGAGAGGGCAATAAAAAAGATGCACAAATCTCTCAAACATTAGTCCCGTTTTCTTTCTATTTCGGAATTTTGCATCTAAACACATACAGCCCATGAAGAGATGCATGAATTTGAAAATCAGTCTATTATAATACCATGTTATGATCAACCACACATGTAAATGACTTTATTCTTTTAAATGTTAGGTCATAAACAACCAGCCATCATCACTTAGAAAAAGAGAATGCATTTTCTCTACACTTCTTGGATCCACTCCAACAAGTGCTGTGTGTGTGTTAGAGAGGATCCTTGTTTTCTGTTTTGTTACAATTTAGACAATACACAAAATTCGACTACTTGTCATTTTTGTTCCGCATAAATTAGTTTCTCTAATCAGAATTTTCACCATCAGAACTCCCGATGCTTCTTAACATGAGAACTAAGGGCATCAGTTGTGGTTGGCTCTCCACTTTTGTTAAATGGATAGTCACGTCAGTCCAATGAAAATCCTAGCCAATTGCTTAAAGGAGTCAGCCCAGGCTGTCCAGCCAGCCAAAATAGTGCTAGTTGAGCCGACCACAATTTTTTTCATGAAATAAATTGCTAGCCCAACAGACCCTTAAGTCTTCCATTTTCATCCTTTTCTGTCAACAAGAACTTTTTCTTTTTTCTTTTTTTTTTTTTTCTTTCTTTTTTTGAGGCGTCAACAAGACCTTAATTCACATTATTTATTTTATTTTATTTTTATGTCTTGGAATACCACTTGTATAAACACGACAAGGCAACCTGATCATTTTATTCCAATCTGTATTTTATCTTCTTGCTTGTTTTCCAAGAATGAAGATTAAAAATTATTCCTACCGAAATTTTACCCTCAGGTTAATATGGTTAACAACATGTGATGAAGTGCACATATGATGTGAAATTCCAACCCACCTAGAATCTATATGTTTTTTTCCTTCAGCAAATAATTGATCAGATCTAGAATCCTGTCCCAAAAAGTTAAAACACAAGTAGATTCCAAATCCTAAAAATCAATGGCATTGGAATGCCTAGCCACATAATGTCAACCGAGTGGAGGAGTAACAGGATTGCAAGAATGGGTGACATAATTAGTGTTGAGAACTAAATCACACATTCTTTCTCGACATGTATTGCTATTACGCTTTGAGCGTGCTTTTGTGCTTACGCTTCGCGCACGCTTTTACTCAAATTCTTATTATTTGTAACTTAATTTTGCCGTTTTTGTACTTCTCGTTCCCGAATTCGCTTTCATTCTAATTTTATATGACTTAGATTGAGAATAATCAAAGTCACCAAATAAACAATAGCTTAAGCTGGTACAAAACCACTTAGAGGTTGGGAATTCGAGCTTCATTAAATGGAGTCACTATTAAAATATGGGTGTTTGTAACGAAGAACTTACGAAATCCCTAACAAATTTGGCTGCCTCTCAAAACATTATTCACCGGCCCACAACATCAAAAAAGGGGTTGACTTAAATACAAAGCGCATTTGAGGATACAAAGGACAATCTCTAAAAGAAAATGGGGCTTTGCTAGTCAGGCTCCACAATTTTGTTGGAGTTATGTTTCAAATATATTACGTATAGTGGTCTTACAAAGTTTAAAACGATACATACACCCCCAGAACATGAATCAAGAGAGTGAATTAGCATTGAAGGTGAGAGAGTGCAATTAAACATTTCCAGAAGCTTACCCTTTTAACAAAAAAAAAAAAAAAACTCTACTATTTGATTTCAAAGAAAAAAAAAACATAAAAGGAAAACAGCAAATGCATGGCATGTCTATGCATCAATGGAGTCACCATCATTCATTTTGAAAAATATATCTTTCTGTAGTTCTAACTACCTTGTTGATCGATCTGGTCAACTTCTCTCCTCAATCCTTACGAAATTCCTCTGCCATTTGTTCTTCCAATGCAAAATTTTCCATTCCACGATGGAATTATACTAACATGTGTTAGGACAAGTCATGGGAAAACACAAAATGACACAAGAAATAACGTAACAGATAGAATGTTTGCAACTCTAACAATAATTTTCAGTTTTCAAAAATTGTAAAAACGATGGATAGATACCTTTCACAAACATCAAATTGTCAACCCCCAATACCTTTCACAAACATCAAATTGTCAACCCCCAATAGCATACTAATAAAGAAATATAATATACAGTTTCAGAAAACAAAATATTGTTTTATTTTTTAATAGCATAATATATTGTTTTGTTTTTTATTTTCCAAAATGGGGATGAATTAATAAAGAAATATAATATACAGTTTCAAAACAAAACAAACACACACATTCAACTTTAAGGTACGATAATTATAATGTAAGTGTGTAGATAACATTTATTACAATCATTATAATGTAGATAACATGAGCACTGAACAATATATTATGCTATTAATTTTTTGATATATCCCTTCATGTTAATGTCATATATATATATATATATATACACACACACACATATATATATTGATTTTAGATGTTAATGAGTTATGAGAATTGTATTCAATAACCTGGTATAAAGGACGAGAATAAGACATGCAGGAAACAAGGTTTAGAACCATCATAGCAGCTTAAAGTACCTGCCAGAACATACCAATATAACATTTACAAAAGCACTGTAGGTTGGATCAATTTTCATATAAATCGCATGAATCTGAAGCAGGACAGTATAATTGTTGACAAAAGTGATCCAAAATTACATATTCCATCTCTGTATAGAGGCTCAAATAGGAATTTAAAAGGAAAATCAGTAACTGTCCTGTCCGTCGTGAACAAATGTAACAAGAACAACTTCAGACTTTCAATACAGAAATAACAAAACATATACAAATATTGGTAGAGCACACTCGATTTCATGACATGGAGAGTTCTTCAGAAAATAAAATTTCACAGTTTACTGAACCTCTAGGAAACTTTAGCAGTTTCTTGAGAAAATCTCTCTCTCGTTTTCCTTCTGAATCACAAGAATTAATTGCCATCTTATGCAGTACTCTGCCATTTTTCAAAAAGTACTGGATCAGCCTCAGCTCATCGTTCAGCCCCCGAAATCCAGTAATTTCAATTTCTTGAAGATGCATCAACAGACAACAAGGCACTTCTTGTTCAACAAAATTGATATCCTCAAAAGCATTATCTTCATCACGTCGCCAACACTGGAGACACAAATAATAATTTCAGAAATTGTGAATAAAACACTACACATACTTCAAATTGTTACTTATAAGTTCAGTCACCTTAAATTTCTTCAAATCAAGATGTACCAAGATAGGCATGCTATTGAGCAAGTGTAGTAGACGTTTCCAGCCATAGCAATATTTAACATGCAGCTCCAAACGAATCAAATTAGTGAATAAAAGCAGCTCATTGTCCTCAGCATAGTCAAGAGCCTTAATAAAACATGAACACAAAGTCATGATAAGTGCCATATATATATATACTAGATCAAATTTCAAAAATATCAACAATAAACTTAATTAAAAGTATCAAGAGATTCAAGACTCAATCAAGAAAAGAACTGCAAGCTTACCCCCATGGTACTAGGGCCTAAAGATAGATATTTGACAGTATGAATTTCCCTGAGAATCACAAGTACACGATCAGCATGTTGTTTGGTTGACTTGGTTTTTATACAGCAGTGTCCAACATTGATATCTGCTTTAACCAATGAGACAAGGTTCTCTAGCACATAGTAAGGCAAGTAATCTTCTTGGAGAGTAAGATACTCAAGAGTCGGTGCATTGATCACAGTTTCGTTGCCATTATATTCAAAAATTCCTTCAACAAGGTCCAAATCTAACTTACAACTCTTCAAAGGCGCGGGCGTTGAGAGATCAAAATTTACTTCCTCGTTACTGTGACCATTTCCTTCAATTAATAGATCTTCAAGAACGGGGCAATTCCAGAAAAGGTTTTGTGTCAATCCATTGTCTGGAAAATTAAATGAAACATGTAGAACCCTGAGACTTTTAAAATGGACTGAGCGAGGAACAGTACTTAAAGTTAGTCCATATCTCAATTTTAAGACTACCAATGTTGGGCAAGTGAAGAGGCTTAAAGGGCAGCTAAAATCCCATTCGCCTTGGTTAATATCGATTTCAAGTTCTTGAACACCACGTTTTATGGCTACACCTATCCATGTATACACTCTTGATAAATCGTTTTCTTCTTTACAGTTCAAACGGAACTTCTGAATACAAGACAATTCATGATTCAAAAGCACTCTATCAACAAAGTTCATATCTGAATATGGTTCTCCAAATGGCAAGTCGACATCGAAGTCTAGAGTGGGAACAGAAGCCCAGAGGTGCTTCCATCTTGATGACAGTATGCTGGCTCTGACTGAGTATTTTGTTGGAAGGAAAGAGAGAATGTGAACAAGAAGCGAGTCTGGCAAGCTGCTGATCCTGTCTACCTTCTTGAGAATTTTTTGCACTTTCTTTGAAGATCCCTCCTGATTCAAGATTGAAGCCATGGTTCTGTAATGAAAAAATAGACAAGATCATTATATTATTATAAGTAAATGAAATGTAAATCACCAAAGGTTGTGGTCAATGTATCTCCACAACTCTTCAAAGTGAACGAGTGTTTGAGGTTAGACAAAATGAGTGGGCGTTATTCGCAAGCACAAAAAAATTAACATAATAACTAGTTTCTGAAATTTGTGATACTTTTGTACTACACAAGCAAACAAAACAATATATAGTTCAAAAGAATTCTGCTGCTATGGGAAATTTAATTGGAAGGAAAACACAGAGAGAGCTCAAAGAAGACAAAAATTTACATACAGATGGTTGATCTTCCTGCTTTAATCACTTGGGCTCTTTCTTCTCTGCTAAATCATCTTAATTTATGCATGTGATTTGGAACAATTGGTCTTACTGCAACAAAATCATCTTCTTCCTGGTAGCAATTGTTCATTTCAAGGGAGTTATGCCACAAGTAGCCAATTATTTCCGTGTTGTATTAATTGGTGAAGCTGAAATTTTTAGGGATCTTTAACGAAGTGACAAACTAGAATGGTTTCCTTTTAAAGATTTCAAATGTATAGCACAAATAGCATTGGGGGCTAACCGATCACCCAATATCTACTCCTCGCGTAGATATATATATATATATATATATATATATATAGACAGAAACAGCATTTACACTGAATAATAATTCATTTACATTCTAGGCTCTAAGGCATGTCGACATTTGAAAGTTGCAATTGCTTTCAACATTTGTGGTCCCTTGTGGACTAAAGATAGAAGTAACAAGTCACTGCCCCTTTGTATGAAATAGCCCCACATAGTACTTTTCACAAACACCAAGTGTGCAAGAATTTTGTATGTGGAACCACTTGGCATATTAGAAAACCGATACAAAGGATGATAAACTGATATAAATGCAAATGACCCAATAAATTCAGAATCTATAGAAAAATTCGAACTTAAAAGCATAACTCATTCACTGAAGTTGTGAATACACATAAATCGTTTTGGCGGATATATTTAATTTTGAATAAATAGAGAAAATAGGATACACAATAACATTAATTTCTAGCAAACAAAGGTCCTAATAGGGATTGAAGAACATAACAAAGAAGGTGTTTAATTAAGTATTTCTTACCATCAATTAATTTCACGTCATAAATCGTCGTCTTCTTTCTCACTCTGCGACTGTGTTGAAAAACAATAAAAATAGAGATCGAAGTGAAACCCTAGACCTCCACTTCCTCGCTCAAACTACCCATGTGTGTCGAAGAGATGACCAAAACCCCAATCGCCCCTATCATTCTTTCTATAGAAATGTGTTGGAACAGCAAAGAAAACACAACTACTTACAAAATAAAAAAAACCTTAAAAAAGGGGAAAGTACAATAACGCCCCTAAAATTTGCCTTTGGTTATTATCTTCCAAATAAGGCTTTAAATAGTTCATAAGGACAAAATTACCCTTTACTAATAAAATTAGTTTTATTGTAAAACATCAAATATATTGAAATGTCGAAATTACCCTTGAGTAAATATGAGCCACAAAATGGCGCCAATTTATTGTGCTGAAATTCATTATTTTCTCTTCAGTGGTGTAATATTCTGATTGATATGGAACTTTTACTAAAAGTTCCTTTGCATATCTAGTTACTCTGAAAATTTTCATAATTTTTGGTCAAACAGATATTTTTATAAAAATTCAATAATAGAGTTTTTAATTTATTTATTTGACAGTCTTCTAGACATCTATCATCACCAAATTATTCAATTTTATACTTCCATGAGTCTATTTTCCAAAACATTTTCATTTGTTCCGTTTCGATTTCAAATGAATTTTTTATAATTTTTTTATTCACTGTTATGCAGATTTTTCCTCTCCACTTTTTTGCATCAAATGTTAATGATGAGTAGATTGGTCCAATTCATTAAGCTGTAAATTTAAAAAGGTCCACTAAACAGTTAAAGGGCAAGTTGGTTAATTTTTCATGTATCATATGTGGCAGGTGGCTACAAAGGTGTCTTTGTCAATTTTTTCAAACTTCAGGGGTGTCACGACTCACAATGCGCGAGCTTTTCAGGCCATTAAGGGTAGGGACATGCGTTTTATTGCTATACCACTACCAATTGGTGGTCCTAGCACGTACTTGTTTTGCGTAGAAGAATAGTTTAAGGTGGATATCACAATTTTCCTTGATAGAAGTCATATTTTTGGCTTTGTTTTGGGTATTTCACTTATTACTAGGGAACCTCATAGAAGGCCACCAAGTGGAGATGGGGGAGCTAAAGAATTTGAAATCAACGTCTTCTTAGTCAGGGACTTATTCGTTGAAGCACTTCACTATGAGAAATGCCGGCGTTGCTCGTTGAGAAGGGATTTGAGTTTTTTCGCTTAATTACAATTCGCAACAATTAGATGTTGCTAGGGAATGGGTGACTTATTTGATTGATGGAGAGGTTTCATATTCTTTTTGAAGATAGACTTGAAGTCTGATTATGTAATACCCCTAATTTTAAAAGGATAGTCTCGGTATTTATTTATTTATTTTTATTGTATTTTTTTTAATTGTTTAATTGATTATTTGATTAATTGTTTATGTGTTTAATTGAATTAAGTGTTACTTGATTAATTGGCTACTTATCTATGTGTTATTTGTATTTTGTCTAGGTGTTATTTGTATTATTTGTTTAATTAGATTGTGTGCTTAAATGATGTATTTGATTAATTGTAATTAATTGTAAATTAAATGATTAAATGTTTTATTTTATTTTATTTTATGGTTATGGTTAGTGGTAATGGGCTAACTAATTGGGTCCCATGAACTACTTGGATAGGAGGTTGGATGGGTATAGATAATTATCCATGGATAGTTGTATATGTATATCTATAGATATATATGTATATAGATATATATAAAAAGGAAAGTAATTTATTAATATTATAGTAACTTTAGTATTAATAAATAATCTGATGTATATATTTTATATATTTATATAATAAGGATATACATATATTTTATACGTAACATGTTTTAAGTTACCTTTTTAATATTATGGTAACTTTAGAATAAATAAATAATCTGATGTATATATTTTATTTATTAAATGAGGATACAGATAGATTATATACGTAACATGTTTTAAGTTACTTTTTAATATTATGGTAACTTTAGTATAAATAAATAATCTGATGTATATATTTTATTTATTTAATGAGGATATAGATAGATTATATACGTAACATGTTTTAAGTTACCTTTTAATATTATGGTAACTTTAGTATTAATAAATAATCTAATGTATATATTTTATTTAATTAATAAGGATATACATAGATTATATACGTAACATATTTAATATTTTCATTTTTTTATTAAGTTGACTTGGATTGGAAAAAGGAATAGGATTATTATTTAGCCTATAAATACACAACTATAGGTTGAAAAAGGAGTGAAAATATATCACGTAATATATTCTAGAGAGAGAGTTAGAGAGAGAAGGAGAAAGAGGAAGGAATGAGAAGAAAACCCTTTAGAGAGAAGATCAAGGAAGAAGAAGTTTAACTTTCAGTCCGAAAGTTTAAGGCAAGTTCTTCTTCTATCTCTTTCCCTTTAATTCGTGTTTCTATGCATGTCTAGGAAATTTCAGGATTTATTAAACACATAAAATTAAATAATTATGCATGTTTAATTGGATTAAAGCATAGGTTTTTATGAAATTGGTTCATATCTGTTCTTGTGTTGTGAATTAAAAAATGCATGATTTTGATTTGATTTCTGGTGTGAATTTTTACATATTTGATTATGTATTTTTCATATCTGTGGAATGATGGAACGTAGAAACATGCCTAGGATTCCTGAACATTAAATAGGGACTAGGTTTGGGTTTAAATAAATTTAAATACACTCAATCATAACGATGCTTGCTATTTGAATGTTTAAACAAACGAATGGATTTAATCTTTTAAAATGCTTTAGCAATTGAGATTAAATGTGTATGATGAATTGGATATGGAGAATGCTTATTTGACGATATAATAAAATATCATCATGTATAAGATTCAGTTTGTGTAGGACATATAATATAGGAAGCTTAAATAAATAATAAGTCATTCATATTATGTGATAACTTGATATCATATTATCATAGTTATTTCTGGAATGTTTGATGTATCTATTTAATTATTACATCAATTATTGGATTGTGTGGTTTAATGCACCGGTATGCGACGGTGGCATTCTAGGGACGGATTAACTTATCAGTTAAGTCCTACCTATTTTATATAAGGGAATGGATTAACTAAAATGTTAAGTCCTACTTATATTCAAGTCAGATCAGCTGAACAAGTTGAATGACTTATGGAGGATTAATTTATTATATAAGGGAATGGATTAACTAAAATGTTAAATCCTACTTATATTCAAGTCAGGTCAGCTGAACAAGTTGAATGACTTATGGAGGATTAATTTATACTGGATAGGATGGTTACTAAATTATATATATATATAAGTATGGTGCTATGATATGAGCTTGAGTCTCAGGATCAGTGGTTAGGGTGCGTATATTGCCAGGGATGTGTAGCTAGATATAGTGTAGTTGTGTACCCTGGTAGGTCTAGGTACTCATGCCCACTATATGTGCGTTTTGCGTGTTACCTACTATTCAAGTTGAGACAACCCTATAGTCTAGTGAGGTTCCTTTAGTGTGTGTGTATATATATATATATATACGGACTACTAGTTACTGTTGGATTGACTAGGATGTATACGTGTATTGTATCTCTGCTTGGACTGTAGTAGAGTAGAACTGGGTTGTGGGCCTGACCCACCATTATTTTTTTCAGGTGTTCGTCAGGAGTAAAGATTGTTCGTGTTGAGCGGGTATCAGTCTATTTCATTCTTCCGATGTTACATAGGAGTTCCTTTATGATTCAGTTTCCTGATTTAGACAGTTATTGCTGTCATTTGTTTAGTTTGGATTTTCTAGGGGTCCACACAGTATGGATTCCCGAGTTGTATTTTGGAGGATCAGTTATATCAGAAGAGTTTATTAATTAATGGAAATATATTCTGAGGTTTATTGTTAGATTATCATTTTAGTTTCTTGTCAACATTTTATTTATTATTCTTTATTCTTTTGTACTCTGTGTTCGTTTATTACCGATTTGTTTTTGATATCCTCGGGTGTTCGGGCGTAGGCCTGGCCAACCCGCATTCGGAAATCCGGGGGTATCACAATTGGTATCAGAGCACTCCAGGTTTAAGTGTCCTTAAAAATGTCTTTCATTATGTGACTTCCGCGTTGCGTCTCTTAAAACTTAGAGCTCCGTATTAGGATTCATTGTACTCTATTTACGGTTCGTTAGGAGGAACTGATGTCAATTATAATCTTTAGTTACAGAATTGTTGGCACTAGGAAAAAGATGGGGTCCAAGGCGACAGCGATAAAGATCCAAAGGAGTAAAGGAGTACGTTATTGATTTCATTGCCCGAAGGCAGAATTAGGGATCGTAGGTTTAAGTTCGTTTGGAGCTACTTTAAAGTATAAGCCAAGGAAGGATTTAGGTGTACGTGATAGGTCACCGCATATCGGGGCCAACACGACTTTAGTTGATCTCAAAAAGGAGACAAGCGAGGAGTAGGAGCTGAAGAGGATCCTAATGGAGGAGATTTATGTGCATCCAATACAGAGGGTACTAAATCTTGAAGATGGATGATCGCGCGAGGTGATCTGAATTGCTAGTAGTATAGCGAATGTTATTAGTAGAATTGGAGTTGATCAATCTACAAATAATTAAGCTTTCTTACCATCTATAAAAGAGGTATATAAGAAGTATTGTTCAGGAGTTTGGGGATCGGATGTGTTAGTATCATAATGAAATACATAATTTTTAAATCACATACAAGAGGGCATTGGTATTATGTTGTGACGTTCTAATTCGCTTTATAAAGCCTAGTTAGATAGTTTACATTCAGCGTGTAGGGAGGATGAGGGTTGAGTCCTTAGTATTTGCTTAGGCGAACATATGTTGCTTTTAAGCTCTGTTTAAAAGATATGTTTCGAGGTTGGATGATTACCTATGAAACTATAAAAGGAAATTATGAAACAATTTGGTAGTGTTGATTTCAAATGAGACTTTCTTTTCTAGAAAGAACGATGTCCTAAGTAAGAGTATATTTTGTGCTAGTGTGTTTGTTATACGTGTTTTATTTTCGTTGATTATTTCGGTTAATGGTATATGGTTTAGTTGGGGACACAAGTATGTGATCAGCCAACTATTGTTTTTAATAATATGGAGTAATAGCGCCATTTACGCTAGATTTGTGAGCATGCGGTCGTA